CTGTGTCTGTGTCTGTGTCTGTGTCTGTGTCTGTGTCTGTGTGTACACATACATACATACATACATACATACATACATACATACACACACACACACACACATTGTATACTGTGAAATTACAAGAAGGGGAAAGGTATGGCACCCATCCTCTGGAATATTATTCCCCGATATGACACTTGCCTTAACCCTACTAGCATTTTGCAACATATTAAAAACTTGGCTCTGCCATCTAGGCTGCAGCCATGACAGTATGGTTCATGGCTGATTTAAACATTGGCTATTATTGATGTTCTAAGTGGTTATTTTTATACTACTGATTCATTTTTACATTTTGTCTCTTTTTAGTTTGTTTTATTTGTTCCATATATATGAGACAGGTGGCCATGTAAGATGATAGATCTAAATGAATGAATGTGGTCCAATTTTGTAAAGTTGATAGATGAATGCACACAAGAAAAGGAGAGGAACTTGAAATGGAATGGGTTCAAATAGAGCAGTTGGGAGAACTCCTGTTCTGAAACAGATGAATAAACTCTAGTATTCATATTCTGAATAGAAAAAGGCTATGGGGGGAAAAGCTATGAACTCAAGTAATAAAATATACGTATCTATTAAATCAGAATTATTAAGCAAATAAATATTGCTGACCATCTACCAAAGATACTGTATATAAGCTCAAACTTCCCCAAGTGATGGGAGAAAACATTGGGACTACAACACTCAGGTTTTGCAAGCAGCATAAATATAGTGGCTAGAAACTACCATAAAGGACTTCCAAACCAACACAACTTCTTATCACCCATGAAGAAGGCTGCATTATGCTGATGTCATTCACCATAACACACTGCTTATGGTGAAGAATATAATATAATCTTAATGTAGACTGTGATGAAACACTTAATGTTTCAAAATGTCTCTGACTGTAATTCTGTGCTCCCCTTTCTCGTGTTTCTGTTTGCTTCACATTCTTATCACATGCCACAATATCCATTAGATATCTTTTAATGTTCTATTGCTTTATTAACTACATGGATTTGGGACAGAGTTTTAGAGTGTCCTACTTAAAAGGTCAACAAGTCTCCCCTGTTTCTTTATATAGTCACTGAACTGAATGTGTGGAGTCAGTATCTCAGTTCCCTTTATGCTCCACCAGAAATCCATGAAAAGTTTACCAAAGCACGGGCATTTGGATTTGCTCTCTTATCCAGCAGAAGCTTGGTGACACGATAGTGACCACAGTGTGCAGCAACATGGAGGGAAGTCAGGTAATCCAGTGTAACATCATCAACAGGAGCTTTGTGCTGCAGTAGGTGTTTGACACACTCCACATGGTCACCCTGAGCAGCCATATGAAGTGGAGACAGTCCATTCTGAAAGAAACAAGGCAAAACATTACGCAGTGAAAACTTGTAAATGCATGCGCATGCACCCACAACAAAATTAAATTTAAGTCTTGAAAAACGGCCTATAAAATTAACAGATTTATCCATCAAGTTACAATAATGCATTGCCCAGTTATATTTCAAAGTTGGTTTTCAAGATATACAAACTTATGATTTTGCTTATTCACTTGGAAAACCTCACTCTGTTTTGGAAACTAAATGGATATTCCTGCATTTGTTCTTTGTGTCAAATCCATTGTTTATTGTAGTATATTAATACTGCTTTCCCTAAATGTACATCTGATTTTTTTGATCTCTTAATTTTCTCTACACATACTCTGCTTGTAGAAGTTTATGAATGCATTTTTACATAAAAAGCAATGGAAACAGTGCAGAAATAGAAGTGAATGAGAAAATAAATAACCACATGACACATATGAGAGCAAAGATGTATGAATTTTAAAATATTTGATTACACCCTTATCAATTCCTCTACTAGTTAAAACTTATTTTACTGCTATGGGTTTCAATAGCAAAGAAACTCCCTTAAAATACTAGTCTGAACTATAAACATACCTTGGTCCTGGCAAGCAGTGGGGCACCTCGTTCCAGGAGAAGCTCTACAACTTGGTCATGTCCACTTCGTGCAGCACAATGCAGTGGAGTCAGCCCATCCTTTGAAAACAGCAAAAACAGAAACCATGTTCTTTTATCTTGGAGCCAAAGAATCATTTGACTGTACTGCTAATACAAATCTTGCAGCAAAATTTGATCTTTAGTGGCAACGATGAAGTATTTTCTTTAGGTTCCCTCCAATAGGGAACTCTCAGAAATGATTCATCATCAGTCAGGGAGCAACAGCACTGGAATTAATAAGTTTATGCAGCTCATGAAATTGGCATTAAATTACAAGTATTTCTATATATTACATCTAGTAATAGTTCTCACTCATGCGTGGAATTGCTGCTAGGAGAGGTAGTTCTGTTAGGAAAGATATTATATATATTTCTATATGCCAACTATAATTTATTAGCAATGAAAAGAATAATAAGAACCATTAAGAACATGTCTCCTTCAGAAATACTCAATCTGTCTACGTAATAGAAAATTATAAAAATATTTTTAAAATATGTAATTATTTCTGAAGTGTGGGTGGATCAGTTTGGGACATTCCAAATTAGGATGCTTGAGGGCCTGAGTTCCATGCAAGCGAAGGAAAAGAGGCTCAGAAGACAATGTGCTTCTGTCTGTGCTCCATTCCTGTGGAATAGCTAGAACTTCCCTGGCAGTTTTTGGCAAGAAAAAAAACAGATCTGATTTTCAGAAATGTTAATATATAATTTAAATTAAACTGGACTTTCTTGTTTTTCTTTGAAGACATTTTGCATCTCATCCCAGAAACTTTGAAAGCAAGGAAGTCCAGTTGCCTCTTGAAAAAGCACCTTTGGGCCAACCATGACCTGGATGACTGGGAATCTCCATAGACAATTTAAATTAATGTTTATGTGGCTGGATTCTGGTCAGCTGAGATAGTTGTTTATTGTTATTTTATTATGCATAGTATACTGTCCAAGTAGTCCTTGACTTACAACAATTCATTTGGCAAATATTCGAAGTTACAGTGGCATCAAAAAAAGTAACTTGCAACCAACACTTATGATCATCAAGCATCTGCATGTTCGCATGATCGAAATTCAGCCACTTGGTAATCATCATGTATTTAAAACAGCTGCAGCATCCTGAAGTCATGTGATTGCATTTGCGAGCTTCCCATTTGGCTGGCGACAAGCAAAGAAAATGGGGTAAGCCAGATTTGCTTAATGACTGCATAATTCATTTAACTATGGCAAAAAGGGCATAAAATTGGGCCAGCCTCATCTAAAAACTACCTTGCTTAGCAATGGAAATTTTGGTCCCAATATTGGTTGCAAATCAAAGAATATCTGTAACTTATTCTTGGTTTATGGTTAAACTGTAAATTTCCAGGAGACCATGT